GGGCCCTGGCTGCGCCATGCCGGGCGACGTCACGGTCCTTGATTTTAATCTATTCATAAAGGGCTTTTGAACTGCTCTTAGTCTGACCTATCACCCAGGACCTGTTTGCCTTGGGAGACCGTACCAGGGACATATAGCCCCCGACAACATAGCTCCTAGGATCACTCGGGTACTCAAACCCCTCCACCACAATAAGGTGGCTGTTCAAGGAGGGGTAAGTCATCGTCTTTTCTTCCAAAATGAATCAATTTGAAATCAATGATACCTACTCTTAGTAAAGTAAATCTGTTACCAACTGAGTCTCCTTCTGCAAATAACTCAGTTTCACTCAATTAAATAAATAATAACACTGGTACATCTGCACATACCACTTGCACACAAATACATTTATACATTTAAAGGCTGCAGCAGGGAACTAAATGTAAACCAGAGCATTAACCTGATTTTAAAATCTGTCCATTCAGGCATAATTCGTACTGCGTTGCCAAACATGGACCGTGAGGCACGCCAAGAGTATGATGTCGTCATCCAAGCCAAAGATATGGGGGGTCACATGGGTGGACTGTCAGGGACCACAGAGGTTAAAATCACCCTCACAGACGTCAACGACAACCCGCCCAAGTTCCCACAGAGTGAGTACAAACGCCTGCATGTGTATCAATCTGTGTGTGTGTAACCCATGAACATGTCACTAGTTGGTAATATAAAAACTAGGCAGTTCACTGTAGGAGGCACAAGAAATAACTTAAGAAAACTTAGAAATCCATTATTAAAGGGTTTTTAGTGGTCTCCTGCTTTGTATGCGCCTGGTATTACTTATAATGTGAGGACCAAAACATGTTAACACTCACACTGTGTGCTATGTAAATCATTAGATTTTAGAGTGACAACTTGGTTTAAGGTTTGGTTTGACATTTAATATCTGAAAATTCACAGCTAGCCCTGCTAAGTCTGTAGACTGTATATAAGTCTGGACAGCTGGTCGACCAACTTGGAGGTCACCTGTTAGAAACAAGAACAAACCTCAGTGGTGATGTGCACCACTGTATTTTCTTCAGTCAGTGTCCAGTTTACCTCTATGACCAACAGCCC